TCTTTCCTGTAAGAATAAAGCTGCTATGAACATAGGTGAGCCATTGTTCTTTTGGTAAGATGGAGTACTATTTAGGTATATGGCCAAGAGTGGTATAAGTGGATTTTTAAGTAAACCAATTCCCAGTTTTCTCTCAGTTATCTCCTCAATAATCAGATGTTGAGGAGGCTTTTTGAAGGATAACCTGCAGGCAGTCATGGCTACCAGTGTGTGATAATATGCTCCAGTCGGGCTCCTCTTTTATGGTGGATTTGGCATCAGTGCTGGCGTGTGTGGCAGATAACCATTCGTGTCTGATTATCACCGGGGTTCTGACTGCATTACTGCTGGTTATCACACTCATTCAAAACAACTTATTTTTGTGCACAAATATAAGGTTTCAAAACAACTTCTGGTTATCACAACACTTCAAAACAACTTCATTTCAAAACTTGTTTTTTCCTTTTACAAAACGGAGTCGGTCCTGTTAAGGGCCTGCTCCTTACACCCTCCCTTTGAGTCCTAAGAGTCTCTCACCTCCCAGTTCTCTGGTACATTCTAGAGGGTCTCCCCACATCCTACTTCCTGAGGTTTCCTGTTTCTTTTCCTTCTGCTGGCCCTTAGGGCTTCAGTCCTTTTTCCTTACCCAATACCTGATTATGCTCCCCTCTCCCCCCACCCCTTTTCCCTTTCCCATTTGGATCCCTCCCTCCCTCCCTCCTCCCTCCCTCCCTCCCTCCTCCCTCCCTTCCTTCTCCCTCCCTCCCTCCTTCCTCCTTCCCTCCCTCCTTCCCTCCCTCCCTCCCCCTTCCCCTCCCCCTCCCCCTCCCCCCTTGTGATTGCTTTCTTCTCCCTCCCAAGTAGGACTGAGTTATTCTCATTTTGACCCTTCAGTTTGTTGACTTTTCTGAGTTCTTTGGACTGTATCTTGGATATTATGCTTTTTTTTTTTTTTTTTGCTAATATACATGTATTAGTTTGTACCTACCATATATGTCCTTTGGGGTCTGAGTTACCTCACTCAGGATGATATTTTCTAATTCCATCCATTTGCCTGCAAAACTCAGGATGCTCTCATTCTTAATAGCTGAGTCGTATTCCATTGTGTAAATGAACCACGATTTCTGTATCCATTCTTCTGTTGTGGGGCATCTGGATTTTTTCTAGCTTCTTGCTATCACAAACAAGGCTGCTATGAACATAGTGGAACACGTGCCTCTGTGTCCTGGTGGGGCATCTTTTTGATATATTCCCAAGGGTGGTATAGCTAGGCCTTGAGGTAAATATGTTTCCAATTTTCTGAGGAACTTCCAGATTGATTTCCAGAGTAGTTATACCAATTTTCAATCTCACCAACAGTGGAGGAGTATTCCTTTTTCTCCATATCTTTGCCAACATGTGTTGTCACCTGAGGTTTTGAACTTAGCCATTCTGATTGGTGTAAGGTGGAATCTTAGGATTGTTTTGATTTGCACTTATCTGATCACTAAGGACTTTGACCATTTCTTTAGGTGCTTCCCAGCCATTCAAGATTCTTCTGTTGTGAATTCTCTGTTTAGTTCTATAGCCCATTTTTTAATTGGGTTGTTTGGTTTTATTGGTGGTTTGCTTCTTGAGGTCTTTATATTTTTGATATTAACCCTCTATTGGATGTGGGGTTAGCGAAGATTATTATTATTATTATTTTTTTACAATTTGAAGGTTGCTGATTTGTCTTATTGACTATGTCCTTTGCCTTACAGAAGCTTTTCAGTTTTATAAGGTCCCATTTATCAATTCTTGGTCTTAGAGGGTGAGCCATTGAAATTTCGTTTAGAAAATTTTCCCTGGGCCAATGAGTTCAAGGCTCTTTCCCACTTTCTCTTCTATTAGATTTAGTGTATCTTGTTCTGTGTTGAGGTCCTTGATTCACTTGGACTTGAGCTTTGTGCAAAGTGACAAATATGGGTCAACTTTCATTTTTCTACATACAGACAGCCAGATAGACCAGCACCATTTGTTGAAGGTCTGGCGGAATTCCACACTAAATTTGTCTGGCTCTGGGCTTGTTTTGGTTGGGAGATTTCTAATGACTTCTTCTATTTCCTTATATGATATGAGTTGGTTTAGATACCTGCTCTTGCTTTAAGCTTGGTAAGTGGTATCTGTCTAGAAAACCATCCATTTCATCCATATTTTCCAATTTTATTGAGTATAGGCTTTTGTAGTAGGATATGATGATTTTTAAAATTTCCTCCGTTTCTGTTGTTATGTCTCCCATTTTCATTTCTGATTTTGTTAATTTGGATCCTGCTTCTGGGCCCTTTAGTTAGTTTGGCTAGAGGTTCATCTATCTTGTTTATTCTCTCAAAGAACCAGCTTTTAATTTTGTTGATTCTTTGTATTGTTCTCTTTGTTTTCATTTTTGGTTGATTTCAGCCCTGAGTTTGACTAATTCCTGCCTTCTCCTCTTGGGTGTGTTTGCTTCTTTTTGTCATAGAGCTCTCAGGTGTGTTGTCATGTTGCTAGTGTAAGGTCTCTCAGTTTCTTTACCAGGGCAAATGTTGTATTAGTTCTGTAAGCAAGAAAGACATAAACTTTAATGTCATGGATTTTGTTCCTGTTCCTGTGTGGTTTCAGTTCAACACTGTTCCAGCCATCTGTTTGGCTGAGTCAGAGCCCCAGTGAGGAAACTGAGAGTTCATTAAAGGAAGCTGTGAGGATAAAGCCTGAGTTGAATTTTGAGATGACAGATGTTGAGATTCGTAAGCTATGAGAAATATAACATGAAGAAATGAATATGAGTAACTAAAATGAAAGATGTATGAAATGTCACAGGACAGGGTTGTCCAAGTCCTTTGAAATTGAAGCTCCATGTATCTGAGTCAAAGATATAGGATTTGGTGTTTACCCTGCTTAGTTTCTTGTTTTGGTCCAATCTCCCCTCACTATTTACACATTCCTCTCTGGTGGAATGGGAAGAGATATTCTGAGCCATTTTATGTTGGAAAATGTATCTTGTTTTCTGATTATTACAGTATGTGGCAATCAAGACATTGTTTTGAGTGTCAGAAAAGACTCTGGACATTTGAACGGTGTATGGGCTGTTGTACGCTATTGAGATCGTTGAAGTTAAACTAAATGCATTTCAACATGGGATGACACTTGTCTCTCCTTTCTGTGTTTCTTTGGGGACCTGATGGTAGCTTTTGTAGAAGTAACCTTTCTAGATTCCTTCTTGAGGACGGAATTTAAGTGTCTATAGATTGAACCCGTTTCCTGTACTTTGCGTCTACTCTGTTGCTGTTGAACTTGTTCAGTCAGTTTCCATCTCTTACAGTCGTGCCTTCACCATTATAGACTCTATCCCTAATTCATCTAACATATAGTAGAGGCAATTGATATTCCATGCTAACCTATTTTGCTAGGCTGATGTTTTTATGTTTTTAATTTTGTTGTTTTTGTTTTTGAAGATAAAGTTTCTCTGTGTAGCCCTGGCTGACCTTAAAGTAGCTATGTAGACCAGGCAGGCCTCAAACTTAGAGATCCATCTGATTCTGCCTCTAGAGTTCTGGGATTAAATGTGGACCAACATGCCTAGCATTTTTTGTTTTTGTATTATTGGCTAATGGATGTGGAATGGTAGATTTTTTTTGTACACACCAAGAGTACGCTGTTGTACTGATCTTCATCCACATCTTGAATGTATTCATGATTCGTGATATTAATACTACCTAAGCCTATTGAGTCATTAGATTGTAAGTTTGTAATAATCTTTATACTTGGTCTTTTTTTGAATGAGTATGAATATTTTGCCTGTATACATGAATATGCATCTCATGTGTGCCAAGTTCTTAGAGTAGTCAGAAACTGGCCTCAGAAGACCTGAGCTATGAATAATGGATAGTTGTGAGGTCAAATATATAAGCACTGGCAATTGAGCTGAATTATTAGCATGACCAGCAAGAGCTCTTCATTGGGGAGGAATCTCTTCTGCCTTATGTTTCTTATTTATGATCTACATTTACATTGCTTATATTGTCATCTGTTCATTTGTTACTGTTTAAAAATTTGGTCCCTTTTTGTAAGATCCTGTTTGTGTTACAGTTCAAACTGGGGCACCTTGGGTTTCTGGGATATTAATACAGAGCTGTAGCGAATGTTCAATTTCTTGGAGGAACTTCAGTAAAAACCTCTGAGTTCTTTCCATCTTATTTATTTATTTATTTATTTATTTATTTATTCATTTATTTTGTAGGGGAGACCACTGGCTGTCCTAGAACGTGTTGTACAGACCAGCTTGGCACCCAACTCAATGAAATACCTCTACTTCTGCCTTTAGTGTGCAGGTATTAAAAGCATAAGCCAATACACCTAGGTTAACCATCTTTTTTTTTTTTTTTACTTTGTAATTGTTCATACCATTTACCATTTCTCTGATGTTTGCTTAGTACTTTTCATCTGTTTGCTTGTCTCTCTTTAGGCTTGTTAATTGGGAATTTTCTTGCAAGGCAGTATCCCATTCAGAAAGCTCAGAAATGACAGAGGTAAAACTCATTATTTAGATTCCTTCTAAGGTGGCTTAGTGATTACAGTAGAACCTCTGCATCAGGAAATAAGGCGGAGAAGCACCAGAATTATGTATACAGTTACAGTCTTGTCAGTAGCATGCTTTTTATTTTACACTTGTATGGGATATTTTAGAATGGAATGACCTATGATGACGTGCATGTAAACTTCACTGGAGAAGAGTGGGCTTTGCTGGATCCATCTCAGAAGAAGCTCTACAAGGATGTGATGCTGGAAACCTACAGGAACCTCACTGCTATAGGTAAGACAGTGAATTTGCTTTGACATTTTAAAACAAGGGGTCAACTGTTTCTTTGTTATTGATGCTCTTTTGTAATTTCAAATGAGGATGAGAATGAATAAGATGAATAAACCAAGAATGGTTCTGAAGTTCACTGAATTTAACTTCAATTTTGCCCAATTTCCAATAATATATCATACATCCTCTGCTACTCTATTTTAGGTTACAGTTGGGAAGATCATAATATTGAACATTTTCAAGGTTCTAGAAGACATGGAAGGTAATTTTTAGATGTAAACTGATAGGAATATGCCTCTTTAGAAAATTTTAAAGAAAACAACAGTGAAAAAAATCCTGACTTTAAGGGTATTAATAATTATTAAATTTCACAAAACCATGTACCTCAATGTTAGGTATTTGATTTGTGTTTGCAAGTCATTCTGCTAAGAGGACAGGGAACTAATGCCTTAACAGATATCACCATTTGAATCAGCCCCTTAGTGCTATGTTGTAGAACCGCCAATGTGTTTATTCTCATACAACTTAGACATTGTGGAAGGTATGCACATTGAATAGGTGCTAAGTTTATGTCCAACGCCTCTAATAAGCAACTATTCCATAATAAAGCTGGCGTTACTTATGTACTTATAGTATTGTTAAGTTTAGTGAAGTGGACAGTTTATGAGAGTCAAGAACGTGGTTGTTGAGAAACCTTAATGTCTGTACCACGTATCTGAAGAAAAAAAGTCAAATTATGGAAATGCAGTAATTTGTTGTTCTTTCATTTGTTGTTCTTCTTTTAATAGGTATATGGTCACAATGGATCCAAACCATGTGAGCACAGGGATATTAAAATAAGCAGTGTACCTCTCTTCCAGTAGACTTAGAAAATATATATTAGACCCCACTTTGAATAAACTTTCTGAATGTGGGAAAAGTTTACAATTAATTTGTTTTCCAACTTCATTGGGAGTACAACCACATTACTCACTATAGGGAAATCTACTAATTTGTGTGGTAAAGCTTTGAGATCTTCTAGTTCTCTTCAAATATGAAAAAAATCTCATATAGAACAAGGGTGTTATAAATGTGAGCCATGTAATAAATGCTCTTACCATCACAGGTGTCTTCAAAGACACAAAACTAACCCATAATGAAAGGGAACACCATGAATGTAAACAAAATTTTAAAACCTTAGATCTGATTCCACTTTACGATTAGAACAGACTGTAAAACTCATTCAAAGAGATAAAAATATTTATCAGTGTGATGAATACAGTAAAACTTTCACATGTTCTGATTATCTTTGCAGGCATAAAAAAAGTCATACTGGTGAAAAAAACTTCTGTATATACTCAATGTGATAAAGCATTTTCATATCACAGTCATCCTCAAAAACATCACCAAATTCATACTGGAGAAAAACCCCATGAAGTTATTCAACATGGTGAAGCCTTTGCACATCATAGTCACCTTCAAAGGCATGAAGGAATTCATACTGGAGGGAAACCTTATGAGTGTAATCAGTGTGGTAAAGCCTTTGCACATCATAGTTACCTTCGGAAGCATAAAAGAATTCATAGTGGTGAGAAGCCCCATGAATGTAATCAATGTGGTAAAGCCTTTGCATGTCACAGTAATCTCCGAATACATAAAAGAACACATACTGGAGAGAAACCCTATGAATGTAACCAATGTGGTCAAGCCTTTGCATGCCAAGGTAATCTCCGATTACATGAAAGAACACACACTGGAGAGAAACCCTATGAATGTAATCAATGTGGTCAAGCCTTTGCATCTCACAGTCATCTCCAAATACATAAAAGAACACATACTGGAGAGAAGCCCTACAAATGTAATCAGTGTGATAAAGCCTTTTCACAAGGCAGTTCCCTACAAATACATAAAAGAACACATACTAGAGAGAAGCCCTATGAATGTAATCAATGTGGTAAAGCCTATATATGTCACAGTAGTCTCCAAATACATAAAAGAACACATACTGGAGAGAAACCCTATGAATGTAATCAATGTGGTAAAACCTTCGCAAGTCATAGTACTCTCCGAATACATAAAAGGACACATACTGCAGAGAAACCCTATGAATGTAATCAATGTGGTAAAGCCTTTAGGCGGCACAATACTCTCCAAATACATAAA